ACTAGGCCATTTGATTGAGGAGTGTACTCCGCTAAGAATTGATGTCTAATCCCAAGCTCATCACATAAATCATCAACTCTTGTATTCTTTGATTCACTTCCATTGTCACTTCTTACTTTCTTAATGGTTGTTTTAAACTCATTGTGAATTCTCTTGATGAATGTCTTGAAGGTGGCAAACACATCACTCTTATCAACAAGAAAGAACACCCAAGTATATCTAGTGAAATTATCCACAATCACAAATCCATATTTGTTTCCACCAATGCTAGTGTAAGTGATTGGTCCAAATAAATCCATGTGCAACAACTCAAATGCCTTAGATGTACTCATCATGCTCTTCTTATGATGTGTGTTGCCAACTTGCTTTCCATCTTGACATGCACTACAAAGCTTATCCTTCTTAAATGTGACATCTTTCAAGCCTCTAACTAGATCATGCTTAATCAACTTATTCAATTGTTTCATTCCAATATGACCAAGCCAAACCCTTTGACCTTGCCTTTGCCATTGTTACCAAATGTGATACTATCAATCCCATTGCCATCATTTTCATTGATTGAATTGAACATTCTTGAATCACCGGTCATGTGTTGTATGCACCCACTATCAAGCACCCAATGCCTTCTACCGGCTTTGTAATTGACCTATAAAAGAAGATCAATTCTTTTAGATATCCAAACTTACTTAAGTCTTTGAATGTTAGTTACTAAGGTCTTTGGTCCCCAAATGGTTCTTTTCTTTGGGCCCACAATTGGTGTGCCAATGAACTTAGCCTTCACACCATTGGCACCCTTAATAAGTATGTAACAAGAATCAAATCTAATTGAAGATACATTAGGTTGCTTGTTCTTGTTCTTGTTAGTCTTGCAATATTGCTCTATATGCCCAACTTGCTTGCATCTATTGTAAAACCGAACATTGCCCTTCACAAAGCTAGCTTTGGGAGTGACAAAGGCTTCCTTGCCTTTCTTGGGGTATAGCCTAATCCCTTTTGTTGAGAGAACCTTTGGCTACCCAAGCACTTTAGCAAGCGGGCATCTCCGCCATAGACATTGCCTAAAGGCACGAGTGAGCTCATTCACCTCCTTCTTGAGGGTCTCATTTTTCACCATTAGTGAGGCATCACAAGTGAAACCATCACTCAAAGGTGAAGTAGTGGTGGTGGTGCTACAAGAGGGGTTAGTGGGAGCAACAACAATTGGTTTATAAAAATATTCATCAAGAATATCACATGTTAGTCCCACATCACATGCACAATCATGTGTTCCTTCTTCACTTCTTCCTCCTTGACTTGCTTGAGGAGAGAGGAGTAAGCCTTTTCAAGCTTAGGGTGAGCTTTGCCAAGCATCTCATGGTCTTTCCTTAGACTCTCATGAGAGGCATTGAGCTCATCAAAGGATTGCTCAAGAGATTTGATCTTATGCAATTCTTTTGCACTCCTTTTCTTCTTCATCTCAAAGCAAGTGTGCACTTGCTCACACATGTCTATAAGCTCCTCCTTGGTGTACTCCTCCTCATCATCACTCCTACAATCATCACTTTCATAATCATCATCACTCACATCATATTTTACCTTGGTAGGCTTTGCCATGAGGCATGTCGATGGAGTGTCGAAGATGTAAGGCTTGTTGTTGATGGCGATGCTTGCTAGTGCTTTCTTGATAGATTTCTTGCCATCATCACTAAAGCCATTACTATCCAAGGATCCAACACTATCCCAAATGACCACATAGCCTCCACCCTTCTTCTTCTTTTAGAAGGTCATCTTCTTCTCCTTCTTTACTTTCTTGTCCTTCTTGTGCTTCTTCTTCTCATCCTCATCATTGTCACTATTATAGGGACAATCCGCTACAACATGATTAGGGCTCTTGCAATTGTAGCATCTCCTCACATATTCTTTGCTCTTGTTGTTGTCTCTTCTCTTTCTTGCACCATAGCCCTTCTTCTTCATGAATCTTCTAAACTTGCACACAAAGAGACCCATGGCTTCATCATCAATGTCACTAGCGTCTTCATCATCACTTGATTCTTCTTTCTTGGACTTGCTCTTGTTCTTGGATGATGAGCTAGCCTTGAATGCCACACTCTTCTTCTTCTTGTCTTCATCTTCCTTCTTGTCATCCTTGTCAACCCCCTTCCTTTTCACACGGTATGTCTCTTGTGTCATGACATCACCTAGTACTTGGTTAGGGGTAAGTTGCTTCAATCCTCCTCTAATGATAACCAATCTCAATGTCTCAAATCTAGGAGGTAAGCACATCAAGAACCGATGAGAGACATTATCATCATTGATCTTCTCTCCCAAAGCCTTCAAGTTATTGACAATTACTTGCAATCTATGGAACATCTCCGGAATGCTCTCATCATCCTTTATCTTGAAGCTTGTCAACTTGTCCTTGAGGATGTATAGCTTCGCACTCTTCACTATCAGTGTGCCCTCATAGGTCTCCTCCAATCTCTTCCACACTTCACTAGCTTTCTCACAATCCTTGATTTGCTCAAACACCTTGGAATCAATGGAATTGTAGATGGTGTTGAGAGCTAGTGTCTAGTGAACTAAGCCAGCCTCTGCCATGCCAAAGCCCACATAGCCCCACCCTTGCTACCCCGTGTCGGTGTCTACCCGTCGCCCTCGGTGTCCAAGACCTGCATGCGGTCACCAGAGCACCAGCTCTGCACCACCGTGCCTCCACCTTGCCATCGCACTTGCGACCATGACCACCGACCCAAGTGAAAGCTCTAGTTTGGTTTTGGTGAATTGATGAAACCCTAAGTGCTAACCTAGTTTATCAAGTGATCATGAGATAGGTAGCACACTCCAAGTGATGAAGCAAATGAAGATCATAGCATGATGATGATGATACCATGATGATGATCAAGTGCTTGGACTTAGAAAGAAGAAAGAGAAAAACAAAAAGTTCAAGGCAAAGGTATAAACCATAGGTCGGTTCTTGCGGTGTCCTATCGTGTGGACGAGGTTTGTGAAACACCTCTTAGCCGCCGAACCACCAAGTGTTGGTCGACACAACAGGGACGTAGCGTGTTGGCAAGCACGTGAACCTCGGGAGAAAATCGATTGTCTCTTGTCTTTGGCATTCTCCCGGTGATTGACTATATATTCATCTTGTGATTGGTTCGTTCCCTACACGTCGGTATAATCACCCTACTCACTTATTTACATTCTTGCAAACTAGTTGATACAAACTCTTTAGTGTAATTAGAATTGAGAGCTTGCTTTATTATTTACATTCATCTAGTTGAGCTCTTTAGAGTATCAAGATTGAGAGCTCTTAGTGGGTAATTACATAGCAAGTTTGTGTGCCTAAGTAATCATTTCAACTAGAGTTGTTGGATAGGTGGCTTGCAACCCTTGTAGAGCTAGAGCAAGTTTGCATTACGCTATTTGTCATACTAATCAAATTGCTCTAGTTGATTTGTAGATTCTTAAATAGGCTATTCACCCCCTCTAGCCATATTAGGACCTTTCAGCAGACTGGTGAGGAATGTGCTAATTCTTGAGCGGTGTTCGCCTAGACCGCGGCCACGGTCGATGATGGTGATCCTAGAGGGTACAGGTGTACACACTCTACAGAGTTAAAACTATACGTATAGCCGTGATCTCGGTCATGATCACTCCTGTGAACTGTTTCACCTTGCTAGTCTTCTCTTGTGCTCTGCTTTTCTCCCTGGAAGCTAAGGTACGGCTTGAGGCTGATTAGACGAGGCGCGCGGAGATCGCCTCGTCGACTAGACCGAGATTGAGGTGTTGTGAGGGATGATGAGTGATGACCGGTGATGATGATGAGTGGATGGTGAGAATGAGATTGTGGATTGGGTTTAGAGAAGATTATTTATGCTACTTCGCATGCGCTAAGGATGCAAACCACAACCAAACTATTAGGATCGTCAGATCCCTTTATTTTCTATTTTCCACTAAAGCTTATCGGTGCTGACCATGGCCTCGCACAATATCCAAGCGGTGTTCGATTTCTTGACTTGCGTTGATGTTGAGATTGGTAGTTGGTTTTGTTCTACCCTCAAGGATTCCTCCGAATGAGAGATCGCCAAGCTTCGCTTCCACGATAGAATAAAGTTGATTTGTATGTTGTTAGTTGTATCCAAACTATTATAATATAACTATTTGTGCACTCGATGTTGTATGACTCTATAATCAGTCAGTAAATTGGACGCCCGTGATAGCTTAGATATCCTATAACTACCACAGAGGGGCAAAAGGTCGAATTTCTATTTTAGAAATCCTAGTCTGTTACACATGGGGCATAGCCTAGGCGTTGGGAGAAGGGCGCGCAAGCTAGGGGTTCGGGGCGCACGGCCGCGCCTAGGGCCTCATGGACGGTGTGCTTCGTCCTCATCTAGGCTCCTCGGGTCCCGCCACGTCACGAGAGAGAGGAGGGAGTTTGGGGAAAGGAGTCGCATGGGCGCAGCCAGAGTACGGCTGGGGCGAGGCGAACATGAGCAGGGTACGTGTGCAGCGGCAAGGCAGACACGGACGAGCGTGCGTGTGCAACAGCGATACGACGCTGCACCAGATACGGACGGACGGGCTAGGGCAGCAGCATGCGCAAGGAGTCCGTACGTGCTCATATGGTCAGAACGTCCGGTCCGTAGTAAGCCCTCTTTTTAATTCCTATTTTAGGTTTCCTGTGTTGCCAAGGTGTCTTCAACTGTAAAATGAGTTTGGAAGTACTGCTGCCAAATAAAATTACTGAGCCTCGCCCCTAAAGCAAGCAGACCGTTCCAATACGTGCAGTGTACTCCCGTTGATCTGTTCCAGCTTCCAAGTCACCTCTGCTCCGCTTCGACGCTCTTTCTAGAACAACCAAATACCAGCAGCAGAGCAGAGCTAGCATAGAGCAAACGCGTCACCGGCCACCAGATCTCTCCCGTACTCCCACCCCCGCCTCCGATGAATCCACCCGCCGCCGCCTAGACGCGCCGCCCCCAGTCCCCCACCACCACACTCCGCGCCACCGCCCAATGTCGTCGTCGGAGCCCGATGCTGAGGGCGCCCTCGGCGGCTCCTCCCCGTCCGCCCGCGTGCTCGCCCGCGCCCTCGACAAGATCATCAAGCACTCGTCCTGGCGCCGGCACGCCGCGCTCGTCGCCGCGTCCAAGTCCGCGCTCGACCTCCTCTCCTCCTCCCCGGCTCCTGACGACGGGCCCGACACCTCCTCGCCCTCCCCCGTCCCCGGCCTCCCAGCGCCCGCCGCCGACGCCGCCCTCGCCGCACTTATCCTCGCGCTCGACCCGGCGTCCCCGAAGGTGGCCGAGCCCGCGCTCGAGTGCGTCGCCGGCCTCCTCTCCCTCCGCCTTCTCCTCGGCGACGTCGACGCCGCCGACCCCTCCCCGGTCTCGAATCTCTTCGCCGCGGTGCTCTCCTGCGTCTTGCTCGGTGGCGGCGGGGACGAAGCGCTCGAGCTCGCCGTGCTGCGCGTTCTCGTCGCTTTCGCGCGGTGCCCGGGCGTCTCCGTCAGCGGGGAGTGCCTGGGCCAGGTGGTCAAGGCGTGCTACAACGTCTACCTCGGGAGCGCCAGCGGCGGCAACCAGCTCTGTGCCAAACTGGCCCTCGCACAGGTGCTGGTCATCGTGTTCACGCGCGTCGAGGCCGACGCCATGGACGTCCGCGTGCGCACTGTCTCCGCTGCCGACATGATGGACCTCTCTGACCGCAGCCTCAACGACTCCAGCGTCGTACAGGCGGCTCAGGTGTTCATAAACGAGGCCATGGAGGGGAGCGACGTGCCGGAGGAGGCACCCCCTGTAGATGCGGCCTCAGTTGAGGCGGAAGGCACTGGGGAGGATGGTGGAATAAGCAAGATTAGGGAGGATGGCCTGGCTTTGTTCAAGAACCTATGCAAGTTGTCAATGAAGTTTGGTACGCCTGATAGCCCCGAAGATCCAATGCTATTAAGGGGGAAGGTGTTGTCGCTGGAGCTGGTTAGGATGGTCATTGACAATGCAGGGCCATTCTGGAAGACGAATGAAAAGTATGTGCCATACCATGATGGTTCTGATTATCAATTTTATTGCAATGTTTCATTACGAGTCTCCTGGTTATGTTGCATTGAATCTTAATGTTTGTGGGTGATAAGATGTTGCATTTTAAGTCGTAATGGTTGTGGATGATAAGAGTAGAACCGTGGAAGCCAGGAACGGTAAAGTGGGATATGTGGAAGTGAAACATATGGTCTGTTTGGACAAGCTGTGATGCTCCAACTTTTGGGGCTTGGTTGAAATTTTAACTGAACCAATCTGAGAGCCTTTGCAAGGTCTACTATGTTTTCCACTTTCGCTGGTTGGGCACTGTTGTTTTTTTGTTCATGTTTATATCTGTTGCTGGGGCAAGGATCTAATTGGTGAAAGAAGCAATGACGATTTTATCATATAAGTATATAACTAAAATGAGAGCTGCAAGAGTACTGATGGATATTTAACAAGCTAGTTTTTTTTCCAACTGTGTGCATACCCCATGTCCCCATGCATGCTGACATTACATGCATGGATGGTACACAGACCCTCAGACCTGCAGATCCGAACCGATACTGGTGGTGGTAATAAGAGAAAATGCTAATGAAAACCATTATGGTGTGATTGGTACTCTAAATTGTAATCTGTGTTTAAAAAAAAATATGATAAAGCTTAGTCATGTGGGGATGTATCCAACAAGCAGCAACACCACAAATAATTCGTACTGGAAGTTGTTTTGCTCATTTGATGTAGGACTGCTGAATTGATTATAGGCCCAACAGACAATGCAAATGACTGATCCTGTATTTTTTATCTCCTATTAATGCAGGTACCTTGAAGCAGTTAAGCAGTACCTTTGTTTATCCTTGTTGAAGAATAGTGCCTTGTCTGCAATGAGTGTCTTCCAGTTATTGTGTTCCATCTTTATGAGTCTAATATCAAGGTTTAGATCTGGTTTGAAAGAGGAAATTGGAATGTTTTTTCCTATGCTTATCTTAAGAGTTCTTGAAAATGTTCTCCAGCCTAGCTTTTTGCAGAAGATGACAGTTCTAAACTTTTTGGAGAAGATATCTAAAGAACCTCAGGTTGTTATTGATATCTTTGTGAACTTTGATTGTGATGTTGATGCACCAAATATTTTTGAAAGGTACGCTATTATTATTTTTGGATGGGCATTCTCCTTCAGTTTCATTTTTTTTGTGATCGGTCTTACTTGAGCACAATTATTCTCTTCTAGTTCTGCTGTACCAAAGATATGCCTCTCTCTTTATAAGTCTACAGTGAAGCAGTTTTAATTCTATCGGTCTTCACAGGATTATCAATGGACTTCTAAAGACTGCTTTAGGTGTCCCTACTGGATCTACAACAACATTAACTGTTGCACAAGACCAAACATTTAGGATTGAGTCTGTCAAGTGCCTTGCTACTGTTGTTAAGTCGATGGGTGCATGGATGGACCAACAACTGAGAATTGGTGAATTTTCACCAGGCAGTTCTGAAACTCTAAGTTCAGCTGAGAACCATAATATTCATAATGGAGAAGAAGGGAGCGGAATAGATTATGAACTGCAGCTTGACACTGGTAGTTCTGACATAACTGACTCTTCCTCACTTGAGCAACGGCGTGCTTACAAGATAGAGCTTCAGGTGTGGTTGCTTGAACTATGGTTTCTCCACAATTAGACTTCTTCTATCTTTGGGATAACTATAAGATCTTTTTTTTTGTTTGCAGAAAGGAATTACCTTGTTCAACAAAAAACCTTCCAAAGGTATTGATTTTCTCATTCGGAGCAAGAAAATAGGCAATTCTCCAGAAGATGTGGCTTCTTTCTTGAGAAATACTGCTGGATTAAATGCAACAATGATAGGTGACTATTTGGGTGAGAGGGATGACTTTCCCCTCAAAGTAATGCATGCTTATGTGGACGCTTTAAACTTCGAAGGCATGGACTTTGGTCAAGCAATTAGGTTCTTCTTGCAAGGTTTCAGGTTACCAGGAGAAGCTCAAAAAATTGACCGGATCATGGAAAAGTTTGCTCAATGCTACTGTAAATGCAATCCAAATGCTTTTACTAGTGCAGATACAGCATATGTTCTTGCTTATTCTGTGATCTTGCTAAACACTGATGCTCATAATCCGACGGTGAAGAACAAGGTATGCTAATTATGATTTTATTATCATATGGGAATGTCAATAAAGCAATGTAGATTTTTTACTAACAGGTAATGTAATTTTTTGTGCAGATGTCTAAGGCAGATTTTATGCGCAACAATCGAGGAATAGATGATGGGAAGGATTTGCCAGAAGATTATTTGAGTACACTGTATGACCAGATTGTCAACAATGAAATCAAAATGACTGTTGATTCTTCAGTTGCACAAACCAAGCAATCCAATAGTGTAGGCAGGCTTCTAGGCTTGGACAATATTATCAACTTTGTCAATTGGAGATCAGCAGAAGACAAGGCAGTAGGAGCAAATGACTTGCTCATTAAGCACATACAGGAAAAATTCAAAGCAAAACGTGGGAAATCAGAGTAAGATCTCCATCATTCTATCAGAAAGTACTTATGGTCTCGGCGACATTTTTATTAATTTGAGCTTGTATGTAATACAGGTCCACGTTTTATGTTGTTGCTGATGCAACCATTTTAAGATTCATGATGGAGTCCTGTTGGGCACCTATGATGGCTGCATTCAGTGTGCTCCTTGATCAGTGTGATGATAAGGCTGCTACATCACAGTGTTTGAAGGATTAAGATTTTCTGTGCACATCACTTCTGTTATGTGCATGCAGACACAGAGGGATGCTTTCTTAACATCCATAGCCAAATTCACATCTCTCCATTCTGCTGCAGACATGAAGCAAAAAAAATATTGATTCTATGAAGGTAAGAGGCCACACAAAACATATTTTGTTTATCGAGTTTTGATAATTTGTTGCTGGGTGATCTATTTTTAAGCAAGGTACCTAAAGGCTTACTTTCCCCATAATACCTTGTTGCAAAACACAATGACAGTTACCATCTGACATGGTGGGACTCACAACGGTCTGGAAAATGATATTCTTGATTTTCTGATGCTTTCTCCAGCATGTATTAAATGTTCATTTTGTTTCATTGAGGATCTATCCAACATTTATGATACAGCATGGTTGAGCCACTTAAATACTTCTTTTTATGCTGTACTTTATTAGCACATTTGTTCACACAGACGAATGTTTCAAAGCTGTGGGATATTGGGGGTGATAAATTTACTTTATGTCCTTGAACAGGCTATAATATCTATCGCAATCGAAGATGGCAATTACTTGCAGGAAGCTTGGGAACATGTATTAACTTGTTTATCACGGTTTGAGCATTTACATCTGCTTGGAGAAGGGGTTCCCACTGATGCATCCTTTCTGACAGTACCTCTGATTGAGTCAGAAGAAAAAACTAAGAAGTCTACTTCTGTCCTATCTTCTAAGAAGACTAATGCTCTTCAGAATCCCGCTGTGATGGCTGCCGTTAGAGGGGGTACTTATGATAGCACAGTGGCAAAAGGCAGTGCGTCAGCACTGGTCACTCCTGAACAGATCAATAATTTCCTATCAAGCATTAATTTATTGGATCAGATTGGCATTGTTGAGTTAAACCATATCTTTGCCCATAGCCAAAGATTAAACAGTGATGCTATTGTTGCTTTTGTGAAAGCTCTTTGCAAGGTCTCAATGACTGAGCTGCAGTCTCCAACAGATCCTCGTATATTCTGCCTTACTAAAATAGTAGAGATTGCGTAAGAAAATTCCTAAAGTTTAATTAAAAAATCTGGTATTTACTAATGGCAACACAGCCACAACTTGATGTTTTTTTTTACTATTCTCATTTCTAACTTCGTTTGTGCAGGCATTACAATATGAATCGCATACGTCTGGTGTGGTCACGTATTTGGAAAGTCTTGTCAGACTTTTTTGTTTCTGTTGGGTTGTTGGAAAATCTTTCTGTCGCTATATTTGTGATGGACTCTCTGAGGCAGCTTGCTATGAAGTTTCTAGAAAGGGAGGAACTGGCAAACTATAACTTTCAAAATGAGTTCCTTAGACCTTTTGTGATTGTTATGAAGAGGAGCAATGCTCCAGAAGTACGAGAGCTGATTGTTAGGTGCGTCTCACAGATGGTTCTGAGTCGGGTTAATAACATAAAGTCTGGGTGGAAGGGTGTTTTTATGGTATGTATGATTTCTATATTTAGTTTGTTGAGGTTTTTGTTCAATCTTACCTGTGAGGTAGTGACTGTTGCGTCCTGCCCTGTAACTTTTCATCAACTTGCAGGTTTTTACTTCTGCCGCAGCTGATGATACAAGAAGTACCGTCCTATTGGCATTTGAGACGGTGGAAAAAATTGTTCGAGATTATTTTCATCACATAACTGAAACAGAGACAACAACATTTACTGATTGTGTTACTTGTCTTATTGCATTTACAAGTAGTCAGTTTAACAGCGATGCCAATCTCAATGCTATTGCATTTCTGCGATTCTGTGCTGTTAAACTCGCTGAGGAAGGATTTGCTTGTCAAGATAGGGCTTTTGAACAACCCAGAAATTCAGCCATGGTGTGTGGTGGAAATGCCACTGTGCAAAAAGATGGTCATATTTCCCTCTGGGTGCCTCTCCTTGCAGGTATGGCATTTTCCTCCCTTCAAAATATTATATTTAGTTTACTTCATGCAAATTGTTGGATGATAATCTGAAGCAATGACCATTTTTTTATCAATGTTTTTTTTTGTGCATTTCAGGTTTAGCTAAATTGACAACTGATCCAAGACTGACTATCAAGAAAGGTGCTGTAGGAGTACTTTTTGACATTTTAAAGGATCATGGAAACCTGTTTTCACTGACTTTTTGGACCGATATCTTTGAACATGTTGTTTATCCTCTATTTAGCAATGAAAGATCCACACCCAGTGACCAGATTTCATCATCAAATTCCGCAGAGTATAATTTACCTGATCTTGAAACACAAACGCGTTGGCAGTGAAATGCTTGGTGGGTTTGTTTGTTAATTTCTTCGATGTGATAATGGCCAGAACTTGGTAGAACAGCATCCATTGTTACATTTTTTATCAGAAGCCCCTACAAACATTGTGCTACTATTGGTGTATCTGCAATTATGCGTTTAGCAGAGGGGTTGGTAACAAACTTTCCAAGGAGGAATGGAAAGAGATATTGATCTTATTTAGAGAATCAGTGATTTACACCTTCATCATGTTCTCTAAAATTGTAAGGATGATGCAAGATATTGATATCCCAGATAGAATTGATTCTTATTCAGAAACCGAGCAATATTTGGATCACTTAGATGTATGGTAATGATGAAGAGGAAGCGAATATGGAGACAACTTCTTATGCTATTGTCAAACTGAAGAATCATATGGCCCTACTGCTCATGGTGATACAGGTATCTTTTTTTTTGACCGAATTTATTAAATTGCTCTTATTGGTAGGCCAGATGCAAGATTCAAGTAGGGTTAGCTATTTGGATTTTAGTTCAGTGCCTAAAATTCTAAATACAATAGCTCAGGTTTGGTTCTCCACTAGAATAAACTTTTCGGAGAGCAGAGTGGAATAATGGAATGATGACATCGGGAGAGGGATGGTGTTAAAGTTGCTTAACTGTGGTACCATTATGTCCCTGGACTGCTAACTATTAGGCTTACTCGGTGCTGCAGCTTTGGCTAAAATCTACCTGTGTACGCTGGCAAATAATGAGCAAGGATGTGGAGTAAGAGAGGCTTTTATTTCTTGCTTACCCCAATAATGACTCGAACTCGAACCTTCCGGTCACAAAGTGGTAAGACTCTACCGCTTGCACCAGGCCAATAAGAACAAAAATTTAGGCATAAACTAGCATGGCAATAGAATGACTTAATTCAAACTATCCTGTTTTAACTGTGCCTTTATAGGATTGTAAGGCCTTTCTACACCCAAAACGCTTGCCAATGAGATGAGGGGCTTCCAACTTTCAAGTTGGGTGCACTGCCCTCCAGTCAATGTGGGACTGTGCTAAGTTCTAACAACCTTCCTCAGTTTCCCCTATGTGACAGTTTACCTCTATTAAGATGGCACTATATATGCCTTACATTGGTTTTTATTACACTGAAAAACCTCTTAACTGATGACAAGTAATCTAGAAATGATCGGTCTTTCCTTTTGAATTTTCTGACAATCACATTAACATGGCAGTATTTTGTATTCTTTTATGCAGAACATTATTAAATTATATGAGGAGCATAGCAAATATCTTCATGCCGAGCATATTAGTATTCTTTTGGAAATGATGTCAGCTATTATTGCGACACATTCAAGTGAAGTGAGCTCTGAATCATCCTTGCAGATGAAATTTCATAAAGCATGTTCCCTTTTGGAGGTATCTGAGCCAGCAATTGTTCATTTTGAGAACGAATCCTACCAGAGTTACCTCAAACTTCTTCAAGCTCTGCAACATGACTATCCATCCTTGTCAGAAGAAATGAACATAGAGTCTCAAGTGCTTGATACCTGTGAGCAAATATTGCGAACATATCTGAAGTGCACTGGACACAAACCATATGATGAAACATCTCAAAGAAATCCATCTTTACATTGTGCAGTGCCGCTGAGCGCTGCTAAGAAAGAGGAATTGGCTGCTAGGACTCCTCTGGTCCTTCAAGTGATGAAATTGCTGGGTAATCTGGAGAGGGATTCTTTTAGCAGAATATTACCCTGCTTTTTCCCATTGTTGGTTGATCTGATCCGCTGTGAACATAGCTCTGGAGAAGTTCAACACGCACTGTACAATATCTTCCAATCAGCCATTCTCCCCATGATACGAGTTGAATAGCAGATTGTGACCCACAAATTGTACAGTTTTGTGACCCCACTTAGGTGATGTAATTCAGTTCATTATGGCATCACCCCACGATTGAGGGGGTATACCTATAGGTTGGCACCTCAGCCCTAACTGATTATACCTTTGCAATATCAAATACAAGGTGAAATATATCGGTAGTTCTAGGTGTTGTCTTACTGTGCTGTAACATCTGAATCCCAACTGAGCCGGTTGTATTGTCTCACAGGTTGACGTAAAAATGCTGCAGGATCTGCCATTCAGCGGAAGTTCTATGGTGGATCTTTGTTAATATTCATTTACCTTTAATCAATGATGTTCATCATATATGCTGGAGACAGGCAGAAAGACACGGGTATGGAATCATATAAGCCTATGCACCCAGGCAATTTTCCATGATCCAAAAGTCAGGTGACCTCGGCTTCCCAGAGCCCCATGTTACCATTGTCCATTGCCATCCCCACGATGGAGTTTTGAAGTCACCACTGGCTTTGCTACAACGATTCTTTTTTCGTTTTATAAAACAATAAACTAGAGGTAGATGCCGCCCAAATACGATTTCTCAATTTTGCTCATTTTTGAGTTATGTATGTAGTATTTCTTATCCATGGAAACAGACTAATAGTATGTCGAATATGGCCCAGTGTTTTCACCTTTCCGTTGCAGCTTGCAACAAATCACAATCTTTTCCGTTGCAGCTTGCAACAAATCACAATCTTTCCCAAGATTAGGCTCTCGTTATTTGGTTACAGTTGACATATGTGATATATAGTTTACAGTTTCAGGATAATAATGTACATGACTCACTGACGATGCAATGACACTGAAATACCTATGCCCTAATGAGACATGGAAACATGCACTGAAGGTACTGAAAAGGTGCGAAGAAGAGAATTAATATACACAACCAGATGTTCTGAAAGAATGGACCTGTTCTACGATTTGGACCTACTGCATGACCTATATTATACACAGGTTGGAGGCCAGACTCCATTTCCGGCATCCACTTTGGTCCATGCACAGACCACCAGCTATCAGAATTTCTGGCAGGAGATGGGGAATGTACAGACACTGACAGAAGCTGAGCAAGAGGGTCTTCATCTTCAGACACTCGAGCTTTCCTGCCCCACCCAGCGGAGCAGATCAGACACTCACATTATAAGAAGTTCAGGTAACCATGGATAAGGACAACCTGCGATATGATAAGAAACAGTACATTGATCAGCCTAGATGCAGCATAGACTGATGCCCTTTAATAAATGGCCCCGCTGCAAATATTAGATAAATGTGATAACTAACCTTTAGAGTGCAAAAAGAAAACAATTTGCAAGAAAAAAAAGCATGCCGCCCAATTTAGCGGCATGACTTTTCTTAGTCCTGCTGCAGACTATAGGATGCCTACAGAGAAGAAAACAAGATGTTACAACAGATTAACGGCAGGAGTATTTCAGAGGTAAACAGTAAACACACCTAAAATTCGTCACTTCCTGGCATCCTTGTCAACCTGTCGCTTGTTCAGAAATGTTGTTGTGTGGGAATGGCGGTGCACGAGCAGGGACCAAAAGCTGTTGAGGTCGTGGAGCTCCTGTTTTCACAAAAGCACTTTATGAGTTATATGAAGAGCGTGATAAGCTGTGGTTCCGTAAGCAATTGAAAAATATTCTTGGACAAGTTAATTTGATTCGACTCAACAGCGAATTTCTTACCTGGAGGAAATGGTTGCTGAACTGGTGGTATGCGCACAACATTTGCAGCATTAACATTCTGATTCGATAGTGGGAGAACATGACTTGGGGCATAACCAGGAGAATAAGCATGATCACTTGGTACAGGTTGGCCAAACTGCCCATATGGGTAGACTGCTGGGCCTACTGTCCTTGGGCCACCGTAAACTGGAACATACTGTTGTCCAACATATGGACCGTATGCATTCTACAAAGCTAAAAATAAAACAAATGAGCAACAATTTAAATTTATTTCATCTTAGTCAAGAAAAGGATGTGGTTTAATGTTTCTGGAGTTCTCAACCTGCTGATATAGGTATTCAGGTCCATATGCTGATGGCCTGCGTTGAAAAAAAAAATGGTCATTACTTAAACAGATAGTCTGTTCAATTGGAATTAAAAAGCTACTCCTGTAAGGGAATACTATATGTACATTGCATCCTGCTAATCATAGAGTTCCAGACTAGCAACAACTACAACTTTAATCATATTGCCAGACATTCACAACCAAACAGGAGATCAAATCCATAGCTGTGCATGATCTTTGCCAACAAGCAATGAATGAGCTGTTAACCTACCCATAAGAAGGATATACAAAGGCCTGTGAGTAGTTGTAAGGGGATTGCTGATATGTTGGGCTTTGCACATACATGCCCCCTGGAACTGCCACACCTCCATTGTATGGGATGACCGGCCTTATAGGTGCTCCTATACCACATTGAAAAGAAGGGGAAATTTTGTCACAATAATTGAAACACACACAGGCTAAAAAGGTGAACATGCGTGCATTACATTAAGCCATAAGAAAGTTTCTTTGCAATAGGTTTTTGCAACTGAGACTAGCATACAGTATTAGTGAACCTCGTCGGCTAATACACATGTAATTCACTTTGGACTTTTACTGGTGGGTCCTGGTCAGCACTTTTCTGATAGACAAGGCACAAGCATTTTTTTATAGCAAACTTAAGAAAACTTTGCTATTTTACTCTATCGCATAAGAAAACATTCAAGAAGGCTCACGAATAAACAGTAAACATCTCAAAAGCTTTGCATTCCATCACGAGCAAAGATGTGGATCAATGCTTCATCTTGTGATGATTAATATCTCCAATTCCAAGTTGCAGACCATGAAACAGATGCCTGACATGTAAGTGGACAATTTTTATTGAAAAGCGGTGATGATTGCCCACCCTTTCTACCACCCACCAGCTCATACTCTTTCCGTTATCTATTATTACTCTCTTCAATCAAGTCCAACACTACTATCTCTCCCCAAACATAGTTGGCAGAGATGACTAGTAGCTGTGTTGGTTTGTATATTTTTGACAGCTAATGCTTTATTTTCCTAAATGAGCTCGTAGAAGATCCTACAGTCTTCTTTGGGGCTAGAATGTTCAGGCAACGAATTAAATACCTACTAGTCCTGTACTGACAAGTCCTTTTCCCTCTGTTAGAACTAGTGACAAGACTATTAGTTGGTGTTGAAAAGAAGGGGTGGTGAAACTAAGCATCAAGTTTTGTAATAATGAAATCATAGAAATGCCATGGTTGTGGTGACTCCAAATCTCCAATACATTGGGAATAGAGCATTGATTAATAAATTACTTTACACCAAGAGCGTAAGCGGATGGAAAGAATCATAGTATATTTGATAGCTGTGCAATTAGGAAAGCAGGGAACCAAGTTAGCAGACCTACCGAAAGGCACAGCTGGACCAGGCCGCCCTAAGATGGCAAGGTTGCAATTAGCGCGCCTGCCGTCGATCACTGGGTATGGGTCCATGCAGGCCATCCTCGTTGACTCTGCCTCCCGGAAGGTTACCTATACACACATCCACACATGATTAAAGTGAATCAAAAGTAGGAAAAAGACGAAATATCTGAGCCAAATTTGGAACCACCCCAAAGGCCAAAGGTGCTCTGTTTTCACCATACCCCCATGGAAAATTCAGATAGTTCCCTGATTCGTACAAGAAAGAATGCTAATTTTCTTTTCAAATTCCGACGCCCAAAATTGAACTAGGTTCCTGAAAAGCCTGAACACAGAAACCCTAGAAATGCTTAACACGGCAACTTTCACTAGCTCCTGGTAACAAAATTTAACTATTTCCCTCAATCCTGTTGGTAATAAGTCAACAATCCGCCAAAATTCCTGCATATGGAATGCAAAACTCCCAAATTCTGAGACCTTCACTGCCAATTGCCACCGCCGCAACAGCATCTACAGATGATCACAGAACCTCCCAATTCAACACACAAAGTTCACCTTTGCACACAGAATCACAACATTCAGCTCCAGAATCGAACACAACCTTAAGCTCCAGAATCGAACCTGGCCCCTGATCCCCAACCAAGGAAAAAAGAAGTACAGAGCAAACACCCCAAGCAGCATAGCACATACGAACAAGAAAAGAAAAAAAAAGGAAACAGGAGGAAGGCGTGCTCACGAATCCGTAGCCCTTGGAGCGGCCCGTGGCGCGGTCGGTGATGACAACGGCCTCGAGGATGTCCCCGTAGACCTCGAAGTGGGCGCGAAGCCCCTCGCTCCGCGTCTCCCAGGCGAGGCCGCCGACGAAAACCTTGGTGAAGGTGGTGTCTCCGTATGGGCCGCTCAGGTAGTGTAGCGCCGGCGGGCCCCCGCCGCCTCCTCCTCCGGTCCCCGCCGGCGACCGCTGCGGCGTCATCCCTGCCGCGGCCAGCCCGCGCGTGCGCGCAGCCGCAAACCCTAACCCTAGCAAGCAGCAGCTGGGTAAACGCGACAACACGCGCAACAAGTGAGGAGGCGGGCGAGCAGCGGAGGCGGCCGGGTAGCTAAGCTAGGGCTGATAGGCCCGCGCGCGCAGGCGGGGGCGTAATTATAGAGGTGGGGATGGCGCTAATCGGAGCAGCGGTTATTATTATTAGCGGTTGGATTACGCGGGAGCAGGGCGGGGAAGGGGAGGAGGGAGCCGGGAGTTGGTTGGTAAGGACTTGCTTGCAACTGCCAAGCAACGAGCGCGCCAGAGACTACTAGTAGAGGCCTGAGGGGGAAACGGCCGGACGGACGGGAGGGAAGGGGGGAGTGGGGAGAGCTGGAGGCCCCCGTGGCCTGTGGGAAATGGGTAAGTGGAGGCGGCAACACTGGAAGTGGGCCCGTCTCATTGCACCGGCAACATGGGCAATGTTCGGGTGGAGGCCCGCTAAACATTTCTACTGGATGATATCTTATCCAATCTCTTATATATATATATATATATATATATATATCTAAAAAGTAGCATTTTAAAACATT